CCGATGTCCTGGCCGTGCGAAACCGCATACTCTATCGTACGCGCCAAGCTTTCGGCGTCGCCCTGACCCTGGTTGAGGCCCTGGCCGGCCAGCGGGTGGATCGTATGTGCCGCGTCGCCTACTAACGCCACTCGCTCCCCGATGTACGTGTCGGCGTGTCGCATTTTCAGCGGGAACGACGCGATAGTACCCTCTTGCACGCCTACGACCGTTTGCGGGATCGCTTGCCGGTTAAATTGTGTGTGTTGTAACCGCCATTCCAGCTCCTCCTCTTGTCCAGTGCTTAACGTATGCATAAACTCGAGATCTACAGGGCTGAGCCGGAAGGCGGCATTAACAAGCGCCACGAAATCAGCCGCGGATAGGCTTTTCAGCACAGCGGCATTGGCGGGCGTGGTTGACCAGACAAGCGTTGACAGGTTCCCCGGCAGGGGAAGCATAGCGACGGGTCCCGTAGGTAGGAATCGTTGGTACGCAACCTTCATAGCATCACCACCCCAGCCAGGCCCTTCGAGCTCCAGCGTTGCGACAACACCATGCCGTTGGTAATCCCATCCCCTACTTTCAATCCCCGCAAACGTCCGTACAGGGCTATTAGCTCCATCAGCACCCACGAGCAGCCGCGCAGCCAACTGCTTTCCACCCGCAAGATGCACAATCGGCCACTCGCGAAAATCCAGCTCCTCCGTCTCCTCTCCGAGGGTAATACCCTCGACCCTCGCACCATCAAAAACCTCCACGCCCCCCAACTCATCCAAGCGGCGCAGCAGCCCAGACGTCAAGTTCAAGTTCTCCGTCATGTACGCAATAGTCTTGGTCCCATTACCCGTAGCATTGCGGTCCCACTCGAACTCGATCCGCGCATCCGTCACGCCGTCCCAGACCTGCATTTCGTGGTACGCCTGAACACGATCACGTCGCACGCGGGCCCAGGCGCCGGCGCGGTCGAGGAAGGCGGTGGACGCCGGCGTCAGCGAGCTGCAGCGATTGGAGAAGCGGTCCGGCGGCAGCTTCCACTCGCGGACTTTGCGCAGGTCCTGGGCTTCGACGAGGGCGACGCGGAGGCCGGCGGTGGTTGGGTTCGCTCCTGTTGGCTCGGTTGTTAGCTTGTGAGGAAGCATTGGGGCATGTATGGAGGACGGGGGGTATTACGGAGTGCGGTGAGCAGGCTTAGGCCGGCCGGTCCGCCGCCCACGCAGACGACATCGTAGATGTCCGGTTGCTGGGAGCTGGCGTTGGCGTAGGACCGGGTCAATTGGGGCCTGAGTCGGCGGCTACAGCTCTTACATAGGCTGGTGAGGGGCCTTCGCAGCTGGCGCTGAGAAAGGACAATATAATCCATTTCGCTTGGGTATGCGTCTTTCTGAGAAGGCGTTAGGATCTAGAACGACTATCGTCACTTTCTAGTGGAGCTTTAAGTTGGGGGCTTGGACAAGGGTATATAGTCCCCGAAGTTCAGCCGCGCCTCTAAATATGTTGAGATACGACGCCTCACGACCAGGGGTAAATGGCAACTAATTCATTAAATTGATGGTCGCACAGAGGGTAGAATAAGCCTTTCATTAGCAATTTCCCAAATGACTATCGTGATACCACGAGTACTACCCAATATTTGCCTAGTTCCCGAACTTATAGTAAACCTAATACATGTTACCTGCAAACACGAGTCCCTAGAAAACTTAACCTTCCCCAGTAGGAAGATCACGGATATCAAGTAAACCAAACAAACCTCCTGACTCGCCCATTCGCCTATTGTCGAAAAGCAATACGAGGCCTCAGACCCCACCCTCCACCACTTCAGCGCCTCCAATGTTCGTTCGAGGCGGGTATAGCCTCTAATTAACCCCTGCTTACACTATTCTCATCGTCATTCGATGTCGGTGTCGGGCTCACGTACGGCAAGTCGTGCGCGGCTGAGTGATGACCATCGTCACCAGTCGAGCCGCCAGCCCCTGTCGTGACAGGCGTCTCACCTCTGGCACTGCCAGCGCCATCCCCAACAGCCATGCTGGCGCCCGCCAGGTTTTCGTCCCTTTCAAATGAGTCGTAAGTAGAAGCATTCTTCTCCCATGTCCGAAGGTCGTCCTCGGCATCGTTTAGGACCTGCCGGGCGGCGGCACCGTTCTCATAGGCACGCCTCGCGTCGCCGGGCGTCACGGGCGAGTCGTCTAGGAGTTCGAGCAGCCGGCGGCCGTGCTTAGCGAGGATGATTTGCTTCTCAGCACGCTCGATAACGGCGGCGAATTCGGCGTCGTAGGCTTCCTTCAGCTTGTTATGAGTCTACATGGTACATTAGCACACCCGGTTTCGTACCACATGCGGTATACATATGGCAATAAAAGTAGGCAGACATACAATATTCGTCAGCTGGGCCTCGGCGACCAAGTTCTCGGCTTCGGCCCTGACGAGTTCCTGCTCGAGGATGACGAGGCGGGTGCTCTGGGGCTCCTTGAGCTTGAGGCGTTGAATCTCGTCGGCGATCTTGCCCTTGGCATCGCGGCTGGGTTGGACGCTCTTCTCCGTGTTACGAATGGTCTTGAGGACGCCGCGGGCCTCATCGAGTCCGTGTGCGTACGACTCTTCCTGCGCGCCTAACTCCGACAGCACTACGCCCACCTTGTCGCTAATGTCCGACACGGCCTCATCACCTGTCTGCTCTCCCCACTCAGATAGCTGTTTCGCAACCGTCTCGCGCTCCCGCCCCGCTGCTTCATGCGCCGAGACCAGGTTGTTCGTCGACTTGATCACCTGGTACAAGCGCCGCGATAACTCTGGTTGGATCGACCCACGTAGCGACGCGAACGAAAAACCCTTGCGGCGGGAGGGCGTCGCTGGTGATCCCGAGGTACCTCCTTTGTTGGAGCGGATGGAGAGCGAGCGATTCCTAGCCAAGAGATTCCTCGCGTTAGCACTCATGGTGTGTATAGACTAATGCTAAGGATGTAGGGGCGAAGAAGCTTTACAAATTTGTCGACCCCAAAGATCGACTGCTGTCTTTGCGACTGAGTTGAGACCTCCTCTCGAGCTCTGCCACGCCTTTCGAGTTGCTGCTGAAGAATTGGAAATCCATCGTGACTTACATGATGTATGTGTTCGAAATAAAACTAAGCGAAGTAGTTTAGTTCCCCTGTTTCTTATTTATAATGACTACGAAGCAATTAGTCGGCTACTTCCATTATTTTCGTTTTCTCTTCATATTGCTAGGTAGGTGCTCCCTCGTTCAGCCTTGCGGCTTCTAATGACTACTCCACGAATAGTCAAAAGTAACGCCGTGCCCTGTATCTACTACACAAGTAAAACAATAAGGAAAAAGGGCATCTACACATACATGAATTTCTCCTATCTTAGGTAATTCAACGTGTTTGCTGCTTCCGAGTACTCAAGTATCATTAATTGATGTAACCTATTCGAGTGGGGCTTGATCTGTGCTTCGTCGATCCGATAGACTCAAGCAGGGATTTGTTAAAGAACAAACAAAGAATCAATTCAATTTATTCGCTGAAGTTATCGCGTCTCAATGCTGTGTACCTACATGTAGATAACACTTTGGTATGTGTTAAAGCTAAGAAAATTTGTCTCATTCTTCTTCGACTTTAAGCTCATATCACATCACATTTGCACAAGGGAGCATGGAATTGATGTGTCTACAGTCCAGATAGGGTGGATGACGACGAAGGGGAGCTAGAGAACCATCATGATGTCATTCTTCTAGAGCTGTCTTTGGAGAATCCATGAACTAACTAACCCTGGCCTGGCCCAAGCGCCGCCAGGCTGGAGACCCTCCCCCACTAGTAAAACATGACAGATCAGGTGGTACGTAATCCCCTATCCCATAGAAGTTCTATTCCCAAACTCGGGAATTCATTATTTCATATTGGTTGCCGCCCAAAGAAACGAACATTAAGGTAGATCCAAGTATTAAATATTCATATGAAGAAAATTGTATCCCCCGGCCCGAACTTTTTAGGTCTCTCTCAAGTGTATAATTCTAGTAAAACAATGGCGTTATCCCATGGCACTCCCCCACTCGTATAATTCGGTGACAGTCAAAAATATCGTTGTGGTTTGAGAAAAGATAAAACGGACAAAATCCGCATTAATCAGCGGTATCTCGTCTGGCTGGTCCTTTCGTATACCACGGGTGCGCTGCGTCGGTAGCTGGTCGTGCTCACGCGGGGGCTGTGGTGGGAGTGGTGTGAGTGGTAGCTTGCCCTTGGCGCCGATGAGTGGTGGTGATGATGGTGGGCTTGTCTCACGGGAATGTACTCCTCGTGATAATAGTACTTCCGCGAGGGCTCAGCGCGGAAACACATGTTTTCCCTTGTTCTTTGGATAGAGATATGGAGGTGTGTATTCATGGACTAAGTTTTACTTGAGGTCCGAGTCTATTGGAAACCTCAAGTATGATGACTTCGGTTCGGCCTGCGAGGTCGTAGTAGATAAGCGTATAAAAATGAAATATAAAAGCACTATTCTAACTTGTCGGAGCTTGATTTATGGATATACACTCTTGATGAAACAGATGAGATGGAAGGACAGTTCTCCGAGTTGATAGAGCGGGAGCCAGACGGGTATTTATCCAACTCGTATGACCAAATTCAGCCTTGCTGACCCGGAAAGGGTCACGAGGGGGGGAACTTCAGTGTAACATTTGCTAACACACCGAAGAACTCATCCTCGATCATCGATACTAGGATGTTCTCAAGGTCGTTAAAAGATCCTCGCTCGCATCTCATCTTTCCATGTTACAATCCCTGCAGACCAATATCGCCCGGCTTCTTACGTACGCCATACATGTCAAGCGAAACTTGGTGGTGTACGAGGACTCCATGCAATAGCCTTGAGTCTCCACGCCACAAGACGCAAGTCTATATTAGATCTAGACTGCCGTTATTAGTGGTTCCCTAGAGATGTACGGTCGAGCTAGTAAACCGACGGGTAGCTCCACAACATGGAGCTAAACTTATAAACTAATTCTCGTGAGAAAATTCTTTATCGAAGGCAAGATGTCCGAGTGGTCTATGGAGCTTCGCTCAAGTTATAGTTGAACTTACTTCTGTAAAAGAGGTTCGAAGTGTTGCAAAACGCGTGGGTTCGAATCCCACTCTTGTCATTCATCCCCTTGCGAACACTCGTCGCTGGATTTCTTTTTCTTTTTTTAATTTAGTCTTAGGGGCTGGTCGTTCCGTGTACACTTATAGTAAGAGTTATACAGCTCTGAAAATACGACGATCGCCCTCTGGGCCACCTGCAAAGTCCGGAAGGGGTCGTGGTGATGCTAAGAAATATATATGGGTATATACGAATCCTACTACCTCATCTTCGCTGGGAGACGGGGGTTGGCACCTTGTTTTAACGGTCTAATGGTTATACACTCGCTTTTCATATTTAATAGCGTCTAGTCTTGTGTCTTTCGATCAAGGCTCTCGCGGTTCACACGAGCAAGATGGTCTGGTTATGGCAATTTCTAAATCATACGAGATGGGTCATTGCATCCCAACGCAGCTGGGTGACGTAGTATTTCATATTGGATATTTCGTATCAAAACCCGGATGCTTGATATTATTCCATACTTAATTTCGTGTCGATTGAGCGCATCTACCGCGATATCTACCCATCTACCAGATTTTATATTATATATGCACCTGAGGTTTCGCTCTGTCCCGCGTCAGGCATCTTTGCTGATGATAGCAGAAGTGTTTCTAGTGGCCAGCGATATTGAAAGTCGGCTCCGTGCGCCTGGGTACAGTGTGATCCCGTTTACCGGGTCTGCAGTTTTGACATTCCGTGCTGAAGGTTGTTCTATATCCATTCTGTACGACCTATGATGTTGCGCCGACGTCAGCCTGCAGCTCTAATTCCAGCCAAAGGCCGCCGGAGCTGCTTTAGCTCCATCGTATAATACCACCTCAATACAGGACCCTTCGACCCTATAGAAATTCCATTTGGAGACACACCGATAGCTAGATCATTATAATCATCATTTGTTTCAGCCAAATCATGCCAGTGCCCACCGATCTTAGGCAGCCAATGAATATCATTGGGTTTTCAATGCTACTGCTTACTTTTTCTCGCCCACATGATCAGAGATAGTGGCTTAGCGAGGTCGGAATTCAGTTCAAATTTTGTATTCTCATTCATGCCGAATCTAAAGCCACGGCCTAGTCTAGATTTACCAGGCCTCCCGTCGAACCCTTTTTAGAATGCCTGTAATGTACACTTGAATATGTACCTCGATCGTCTTAAAAGAACCAAACGCCTCTTATTTTGTTGAGAATCTCACGTCCACCTTTGAGATGGCCCACATCCCGATAAATACCGTCATCATGCTTGAGAATATGATCAGCGGCTTGCGAAGGCTAGCTGCGAATGTATAGTCGTATGAAACAATCAGATCGCGGTCTCGGAACTCGTCTACCAAGTTCCTTGCCTTGATAGTCAGCACTGTGCGACCGATGGTATCGAGGTACGTCTTTTGCAGGTCGACTGTATAGTCCGTGATAGAGGACTTGGGAATTGTCGTGTGGAATCGAACGTTTCTGGGAAATAATTCAGTAATTATTCAATGGGACGGGCCGTACGGTATCAACTCACTCAGCACCCTCTGGCAAGAGTACGCGAATTTGGACCTGCTCGAACGCGATACCTTCCGGCTGCTTAGGCCCCTCTAAGAAAGGTACGTTTAACAGGTAGGTGTTGCTAGACTTCTTTTTCAAGAAGTTCTTAGCGTCCGCATTCCAGCCAATGGTAAAAGGATACTTCCAGCCACCAAACACAGGGTACCGAGGCTTGAGCTCAAGTAGAGCCTCCCGCTTGGTGGACCGGAAGCGCGATGTCGAGACGTTGCCAATGGCGTCTGTGAAGTATGCGTCCTTGCTCCCAACGCGGAGAGGGAACCTCATCTCCTTCAGTGCGTAACTTTGGGGGTTGAAGTATTGAGACTGAGCCCATTTAACCCTATTAAACAGTGCCGAGAGGTTTGCGCCGTGGTTATAGAGGGTGTATCGCTCCTCAAAAGCTACATTTCCGCCCCAGTGACTAACTTCGATATCGCGCTCCAATTGCGACACGTGCGTGACTGGTTTCGTAAACTCGTATCGTACTTTCGCAGGGGACACCGCGCCAGCCGGGACCTCAGGGAACGGACCATAAGTAAGCTTCGAACCTTGCTTCTGAGGGAATTCCTTCGTCTCGCCGCTGGCAGCAATCTTGGTATAGTCAGGAATGTCAGAAGACGGGAGCTTGACTTCCGTCTTCTGCTTCGATGTAGGGTAGGCCGACTGGCAGTACGCTGAGAATTCGTAGACGAGATATTGCTTATCGGATTGTTGGATCGCGGCAGGAAGAGGCTTGAACGAATCGAGGTAGTAGTACGAGATACCTAGGGTCTGTTGACCCTTGGCCGGCAAGGGTGCAGGCAGTCGAATGCGATAGTACTGGGTGTCACTGGTACTCTGTTAGAAATGACCGCAGAGTAATATAGGGGATAACGGAGTTCTCTTACCTTGTGCGGTCAAATTCGACAGCTTCCACGACGAAGCCCGAGACGCTGGAATCCTTTCTGTCTTTTACCTCGATGCCTCCAACCCTCTCCATCTGGTCGCTCGTAAATGGGAGAAAGTACTCATCTTGAGAGTTCGGCGATATGTTCTCGATTAATACATTGATGGATTCCTTCACGAAGTTCTTCTCGAGAGAGATGACATGTACTAGGTTGGCATTCTTAAAGACCTGAGGTGGTTTGAAGGTAGCCGGGAGTATGACATTGGACGACGACGCAGCGACGTTGGATTCGCCTAGGACCTGCGAAAATAAGGACAGGCAGGTAGCTGCGACGGCAGTGAACTTCATGGCGAAGAAAGACCGGATGGGCTACTCATGAAGTTGAGTAGCGCCAATGCAAATGATCAACGACGACGTTGGAGTTTTGACTTAGACAGCTAGCTACATGTGGCTTCTCCGAGAGGTCCAAGTTCCAAGTACGGTACACCTTTCAAAAAGTTACAGCTTACGTTGCCAATGGACCTGCGCGTCGACGCACGGGCCAGGAACAAGGGGTTGAGGAAACATGTTGTTCCGCGTGTTCATAGTGGGACCTTATCAACTTAAAGCTCTAGACCATCTCTAGTTAGTGCGGGACGGCAGGTACGGCAAACCCCATATTCTGGAATGGGCTGATGGGGCCGACTGTCTGGACCAATCTACATGTATCAAATACGTAACGCTGCCACCTCAATTTGATCACCTTAAAGCTCCTGCACCAGCTCATGGCCTTGAAACGTTAATCAATCTTACAGCTGCTGTTATAACTTCTTCATTAGGATTGCGCCAAGTGCTAAAGAGCTCAAAAAACATCACATCACGATATGATATCACATGTGATTACCTTGAAGCATCTCAATGTCTTGCTACTCCTCAACAAATCGCTCAAATCCCTCTACCAGCCTTATAATGATAGGTATCCCTGGTACATAAGCAAGCACCCCACGAGATCATAATCCTTGGTTTTGAAGGGGCATGGCAAGCCTTGGATGTTGAATGCGGGGTGATAGGCCTGTCGGCTTCAGGTTTGCAAACTCAGCCCTGGAGCTCACACAAATACTCACAGAAGTACTTACGGAGTTCCATTTTGGCAGTCCGTCGCTTGTGTTGGCCATGGATTCTAAGTAAATTCGTAATCATTCTGCCACATCTTATGGGTGGCATATCCAATACAAATAATACCTATCATTAAAAGCTAGACACACCGCCGGTCTAGTTTGTTCCATGGCATCTTCCAAGTCCTGTGATAGGTAGGAAAGATACGTGAGGGGGGTTAGGTCGTAGTAGATGTAATTTGAGAATTCCGGTGATAGTGACCACACTTCGGTGTTGTGCTAGAACATGCATACTGTATATGATGAGGTCTCATCATAACGTATCTACGCCATAATACTTTACATCAGTATTCAAGGTCCAAGAGGTACAGTGTTAGGTACTTATACTTAAGCTGGTAGTAGCGTTTTTTAGTGTGACCCAGATTCACCCAACCAGACAAGCTCAGAAACCAATGAAAATTACCAAATTTGGCATTGAACCAATTGAAACTGCAGCTGTGGGTCGTGCATGGAGGGGCAACTTTCGTCAAGCTTATAATTCCCCTCACCCATTACTTCAAAAGACTTGAAGCTCCAGAAGCATCTGCTACGCCATTCTCTCTTTTCATTGCCCTGCCCTACCAGTATTGCTCATCCGTTGTTATCATATGTCAAGATCTGGCTGAGCTGAGTAAGTAGTTTCATTGAATATTTTTGAGTCCTTCTATTTGCCCAAGCCAACCCTCAAAGATTTTAATATTTATTGGTCCGATGTTGCTCAACACCTTTTCCTCTACGTTTTCTATTTATTTTTATTTTCGTCATATGTTCTTACTTACACTAACTATCAAGCTCAAGTTATCTAGGATATATCACATCTGTCTCTTATACTCGACATATTCTAAATATCAATACAATTAGATTCTCAAAATGGTTGGTCTGGGTCCTCGCAAGCCACCATCCCGTAAGGGTACGTATAATATTATTTCACTGGGTTCCAGATTTAGCCTCACAAACTTTCGAGGCTAGAGTCAGAAGCTATGACTTGAGCTATTGAATGTTTGTTATAAGACTCCTCCTTTCATCTATTGGATCTTACCTGCCTCCTTAATGGATCATTCACTCCAAATACACGTCTGTCACAGTCACTGCTTAGTGGATTATGAGCAGAGTTGCCCCTTCCAACCATGAATCACAAGAATGGCCCCAACGTATATAAAATAAAAAAAACCTTGACGGAAGCTTCTTCTATCTGCAATCTTAGCCTTGAGGTTGGGTCTATTTTACATTTCTCTTCTAGATTGTGGTCTGGCTCAGATATTTATAACTCTCCCTACCCAATTATATCGTTATTCGATTTCTATATCTGTCTAGCCTGGGCTTGTGTTGCTGGAAAGTGGCTATGGAATCCGGACAGAGACCAACTGCCTTTGGGCTTGGAACACGTCTTCACTCATATCACCACCATCATCATAGCAATGCGTCTGAGGGAATCAATGGTTCTTCGCACTCTTTAGACAATATCCATACAGGTTGC